CCAGGGTGTTCTGGACGTGGTGTTCAGAGCTGTTTATATGATTGAAACCTGCAGTCAGCTGAGACTGAAGAAGTCCCCTGGATGAGTGACGAAACGTTTCTCCCACTGAAAACGCTCATCCAGAGGAACAGAATCAACTTTTGGAGTCTAAAATATTTGTTTCCTCATTCGATGGTCTAATCTGACCTAAACAGGGAAAAGGCTCTCAGGGACCATACCGATGGGACAGAGGCTTCATGTTTAGAGGACTGGAGAAATGATATCAGAGCCGTCAGTTTCTCACAGCATCATCCACCAACTCAAGAGTTGACTCAACGTTTCTATTCTGCTGGAGTCCTGTTGACTCCTGCACTAAACGACCTTTAACCTGCTCCTCTGGCCTGACAGAAATGTCACACCAACACAGCCCGGACTCTACAAAGTCTGAAACAATCCAATCACAGTCAGGTATGAAAGCGACTCATAAGGCAGGTTGTGTACCAATGGTCAGGTTTAATTTTAAACAGGATTATACACAAATAAAAACCATTAGCTTATTTTTATTATCTAAAAAAGAAAAGAAAGAAGCCCACACACACACACGATCCGTATGGACTGGGAGGAAACAGAGGTGAACTCCAGAGGACATGACGTTCAGCAGTAGATGGGCTCTGGCAGACTGGAGGTCACATAGTCCTGCTGTAACTCTGTGGACTGCCAGTGACAGTCTATCAGTGCATCGTACAGTTCCTCACTGTGCTCCATGAACTTCCTGTTGGCCTCCACCACATCCACCTCCACACTTGGATCTGCAAAACACAAACATCCACTTAGAAGGTGTACACGCTGCAATTACACACAAGCCTCTTTATTAGGTACACCTCCACTCAAGAACACAAATATTTGTTTTGCCACATCACAGGACGACCTGTAGAAGACCACACCATCATCTGTTTAAAACATCAGCAATGGGCCAAACTGCACACACAAGAATAAGAATACTGCTAGTGTTACCCCTCAGCCTCCTAGGAGACACGCCTATGATATCAATGTTATCACATTCACAAGACTTTCAGAAAACGTGACCTCTGACCTTTAGTTTGAGGTCACTGACATTCAAACTTGTTAGTAGACGAAACGTTTCTTCCACTGTAAATGTTCAGATCAACACAACCAACCTTTTGATATTGCCTTACCCAGATGATCGAGCATGCGTCGAGAAATGTGAACCCACTTTGACCTCGATGCTTGAAGCTCGTACGAGCACGTGCGAGGAAGTGCGAGTAAATGTGGTTATCCCAGCTTTGTCGAAGCAGGGAAGGCGCCTACAGAACGCTCCACACCCGTAGTGATCCCCTTTGTGTCAGGCGTTAGGGCTGTTTGATATAATGATATATAATCGCATGACGATATAAAAACATCATTTCATTTTACGCTATTGTTTATTTCATGGTGTCGCAAAATAAACTTTACAGCAACATTTGTTCATGGTTCTGATGGTCACTGTAGTTATTAATTTCTTAAAGTTCTCTCTTTCTCTTATATGTAATATAACCACGCTACGGACGAACAGCATCGCGTGTCCGCTTGTTTATGTTCCACATAAACCTTTCACAATAAAGCTCAAGATCCTGTTGAGACTTTTCAAAATAAACTGAATCACGTGAAAGAGCAGATTATTTACGGATGAGAAGTAAAAAAGACGCCAGGTGCTAAAAATAAAGCTTAGACTCAAACGTTAGAACAGGCTTTTCCCCGCAGCACGCCGTGTAATAAATACTCACAAAGAAAACGGCGCCGTTACAACTTATGTCTAAAAATGTGTCGTTTCATGCATCGTTAAAACACTCCACTCCAGCTACACGACGCCCAGCTGGAAACACTTCACACAAGTCGAGCTGCCCGAGATTCACAGAATTTACAGAAAATGTTACATTTTTGTGATTTATATCGTTATCAGGACGATAGATGTTTTATATCGGGAGATGAGATTTTGGTCATATCGCACAGCCTTATCAGGAGTATCGGAACATTTTCTCTAAACAGTCTCTGTGGCTTTTAAACCCCAAAAAACGCTGCGCCAAAAACTGGCCCACCCCGACACAAACAGAGTAACATAGTGGACGCTGTTCAGCACCAGGATTTGTATATCGGGGAAACCAAACAGCCTCTGGCTACAACAATGAAGAACTAACTCGTCAGCGGGGCAGAGCGACATGAGGGAAATCTAATATCACAATATTTTCTTTATATACATATCACCATGTGTTTAAATAACCTCCAAATGTTATGTTCAACCATATAAACCTAAACTTTCACTGCTATACTCAGTCAAACCGACCAGTCAATGGTTTTTTTCTACTTTGAATACAAAATAAAATCTGAATGTTTTATTTTAGCCGCTCTTTAACCCTCGGGTGAACAGAGGATACTGCCACAGCACGTCTGTGGTCAACACCTTTCACAAAGGATTTTAAAGGTTTCTTTGGTGTGTGGGGAGACAGTCACATGCAAAGTTTAAAACTGTCTTTTGACTTTTCAGCTGGTGGAATCATTTGTGTTGCTGCTTCCTTTTGCATCAATAGTTTTACTGAATGTTTGCGAATCGTCACATTTTATTCGACATCCTCTTAGTAAAGAGAAACTGCCGCTGTCGCCCTACTATTCCCCGTCTGGTAGGATGTAAACATGCAGGCTCAGTGCAGTGTGCCGGGTGGAAAATCTTCCAGTTGGGGGGGGGGAATTAACGATGCATTCGCAGCATGTAGGAGAAAAATTACATGCAGACAGCTTAATATTGCCATGGCAACTTATACTCGATGGTTAGGATAAAGCCATTTTAACCATCGTACGTGGAGAAACTCGCGATACAACATATGGTATCTAA